ATACACAGTACGTCTGTGCGATGTTTCTGTGGGCTCGATGTCCAAAGGGCCCTTTCCTGCTGGGTGCATGCTCCATGGTTCGATACTCCGTCCAGCATCCTTGCACTCTCGTCGGCTCGGAATGAGGCGCACACTGTACATTTCCAATTCCGCATTGATCGTTTCGAAGTCTTGATACGAAGACAACTGCCAGGGAAAACTGTAGAGGGGCTGTACCTCCCCATCCTTCTCTCCGATTCCTCGCATTGCCAGAGTAGAAAAGCTTAGCCACTTCCTGCGTCCACTCCTTGGTGAACGGCGGCTTGCATCCTGGGAGAAATTCCTCTCCATCACGCAACTGCTGTCGCGTCTCAGGCCAATCCTCTTCGTGATCCGCTCAGTCCATTCCCATCCAGGGGTTTCCTCAGGCTGCTGCTTCTTACCTCTTCCAGATCTACTTTTCTCCTGGATCCTTTTCTCCTTGTCTTCTGTGGTACTCTTGGGATCCTTGGCATCTGCCGGCAGCTTCGGCATTTTCTTTGGCTGCCTTCCAACCGGTGGCAGAGAAAGAATCTCTGTGAACCGAATACTTCTTGGTACTCCTTCTTCCGCCATCCTTAGATCTAATGGCAAGGCCACTTCCCCATTTAGGTGTCCTTTTTCTCTTCGAGGGATATAGCTGCGGTCGAGTAGCAAAGTGATACATGTTCACATGCAAGCAACTCACAATTTGCAAGAGGTGCTTGTACAAGCAACTCACAATTTGCAAGAGGTGCTTGTACATCTTCTACATGATGACCTTCATGGCGAATTCCACGTTCTGCTGTCCAGTTTCCAGGTATCCTTGAATGCTTCTTTCGGTTCCAACCGGGTTTCCTTCGGCCTACAAGTTTCTTGGATCTTCAGACTTCTTTGCTTCGCAACCAAGTTAAATTGTAAAACCTTGAGCGTTTACGCTTTTCCTTTTTTTCAACCAAAGGCGCTGCATAGATCACACACTATACAACTACACATTGCAGAATAAAAGCGATCTGTTTCATCAGCATTGATTGGAGGTCCGTTGGTACGCATTCATTGCAGTTTTGGCTGACCTCTAGCTCTGGATTGCTCATCCATTGAAATGGCAAGCACCTTGATTGCGGCTGAAGAATTGAGTGTGGCAAAATTTTCATGCCACCAGCTCAACTTCGCCATTGCCCCATAGTGCGCAGTCTGCAAATTCATGTGTTGGATGCGTCAAGGAGTTTTCAGTGGACCGAGTCGAACATTACTTTGGTTCAATTGAAGCTTCGTGCCACAAAATTGGATTTCGAATTGAAGACGAACACAGTTGGAGCTCGACGAGTTGAATTCTGCCATTATGTTGGAGTTGCCATTGACTGTCACCGTCACAACATTTCGGCAATTCTGCCCATGGATTGTTGGGTGAGCATGCAGCCCAGCACTTCATTGAACAGGCATCTACGCATTCCATTGGCTATGCGTAACTCAGTCATTGGTAAGTCCGCATCGCTCACTCCATCTGCACAGGAAGAGACAATTGAAAATGAAGATTTCGATGGATTGGAGCAAAAGGACGGTCGTACCCGGATCATTGTGGAAGCCGGTACGACAGTGCAGATTGGGTCGACACCGCACCCATTGCGCTCCGTTCGAACCACTCGCAGATGATTGACGGAGTGGTCGCAGCTGGATTTTCTGCATTGATTGGAGCGAACTGCATAGAGCATACCGATGCTATTTCTGCGGGATGGCAGCACATTGTCAGACAAGCTTCGTTTCATTCCTTCGGAATTGTTTTGCCACCTTGAGAGCTGTGGACAGTGCATGGATGCATTGTCCAAGGAACCGTGTTAGATTGTAGCATCAGTTTACAGCCATCGTTGTACACATGTGCACCTTGCACATTGGCTCAAGATTGATCTGATTGCTCGTAAAAAGATCGCTGACCGAGTGATTGCATCATTCTGAAGCTGATTGCGCCTGCAGCTGAGCATTTGATTGTTGATTGCATAGGCAACGGCACTCCAAGTGAAGCTCGAATACGATTGTTGAATTTTTCATTCAAGCTCCCCTTCGTCGAAGAACAAACTCTCCCGAAGGGGGATGTTTTCTTATTTGATTGTTTTCATGTTTGAAAAAATTGTTTACAATTTTTTATGCGCACTTTTCCCTTGTCATGCCTTGCTGGATCGTACTGCATGACTTGCTATTTTCTCACGATTGCTTTACCATGCTTGTCTTGGTATTCGCAGTTTTGCTTGCAGGCGTGAGAAAATTTTTGTCGGGGCCTCTAAAGGCTTGTTCCTTCGTGTCACAGGTTCCAAGGCCCCTTACGCAAGGCTTTAGCTTCCCGGAGAGCCGGGTGTGCATGGAACGGCGGCCGCAGCGCCCGCCTCTTGCCTTGCGACGCCTCCTGCTTCTTTGGCTGTGGGAACGCTTGACCTTGAGAGGCTGGGAGTCCGCGATCTTGCGGCCTGACACACCTTTTCGCCTAGGTCTCTTGCAGTTCTTAGGCGCAGCTTCAGCCGGCTCACACATCTTGCTGGCAGTCGGAGTGCAGAACTTGTTCCCTTTGCGTGCTACTTGCAGAGCCATCAGAAGCATTTTCAGCACAATTTCCGAGCTGGTGCGTGCAAATCGTGGCCGCCTCAGTCGACTCTACCACGGTCAGTGAGCGCCCGCATTTTCTGGGGTATGGCGCGACCGCTCGATAGGCTGTTGCTTGCTGCAGACAAACATGTGTCGAAACATTCCCTTAAAATGCCTTGGGAGCGAGGGACGATGAAAGCAGTTTTCTCGCAGGGCAACTTGAATTCCCTTTCTCAGTGCAGTGTGCCGGCTCCTCTGCAAACGGAACCCTTGGACTCCGCTTCTTTCGAGGAGGCCTCCGCCAAAGCTCACCCCCAAGAGCATGCTTCACAGTTTGTTCAGGTCGCCTTCTCTGCCAGGAAATTTCAGAGGCCTCAAGAAACTGAAGAGCAACAGTTGCAATTGCTTGCAGCAAGATACGATGTTCTCTTGAGCCACGCATACGAATGCTCCTCCCTTGGCAGACTGTTGAAGGACAAGTGCGAAGCAGAACGGATCAGTCTTGTTGCCGAATCCCTAGGTGGCAAGGCCCTCTCGACTTTGAAGAAGCGGTTGTCCAGTCTCGCCCGCATGGTGGGATGGTGCTCGAGCCAGGGCATGTCAGCTTTCCCGATCGACTCTCAGGTGTTAATCGAATACACCCATCATCTGCAGCAGAGCGGGGCCTCGCATTCAGTGTTTGGATCTTGCATCGAAGCTTGCAACTTTGCTAGATTCATTTTGGGTGTGGATGCGATTGGAGATCCTCACAAGCACCCGCTTGTGCAAGGGCGTCTTCGCAAGGTGCGGTTCAACCGCCCGCCTCGTGTGCAAGCCAGGCCTTTTCAGGTTCGCGAGGTAGCATACCTTGAAGCTTTCGTCCAGGACAGCCGCCGTGATGCAAGGGATAGATATGCCGCTGGTGCTTGCTTGTTCTGCATTCACTCGAGAGCCCGTGTAGGGGATGTGAGGGCAGTCAAGTTGATGACCATCGATTTTGCAGAAGGTGAGGGTTTCCTTGAGTGCATCTCAACGTCCCATAAGTGTGCGTCGACAGGCAACCCGTTGGGGCTTGAGTTGAGCTTAGTGTCCCCCGAGCGGGGTGTGGGTCAAGGTCTTTGGGCTAAAGCTTGGGTTGAGGTGTGGCGCTTGTCGGGCCATCCGATCGCCACTGGAGCCTGCAGCCTGCCCCTGCTGCAGTCACCTATGCTCAATGGGTCATGGAGCGGTCGTCGGATTCCGACGGGCAGGTTTGTGTCTTGGATTTCTTCGATCCTCCAGTCTGGGGATTCAAGCATGGGGACTGATCTCAAGGGTCACTCGTGCAAGCATACTGCCCTGTCCTGGGCGAGCAAGACGGACATGTCCAAGGACTCCTGCACCATTTTGGGACACCACTCCTTGAAGGATCGGCGGTCTGTCGTAACCTACTCCAGAGACATTCAAGCGGGACCGCTGCGGGAGCTTTGTCAAATGTACTGCGACATTCGGTGTGGCAGGTATCTTCCGGACATGACCCGTTCAGGTCTTTATGCAAAGGGCCTTGTCGCTGCCGGCTCGGCCGAGGAGCTGCCAGTCGACAGTGTGTTCGAGACTGAGGCAGAAAGGGACTGGTACCGGCCTGCGGTTAGTCCTGGCTCAGCGTGTGGCTCGGAAGCCTTTCCGAGTGCAGGTGCTCCTGCCTCCGAGCCAGGTTTCGGAGATCAGAAGGATGCCAGTGACGATGACACCCCTTTCGGCCGTGCTGTGGACTCCCTGATCCATAATGCAGAGCGTGCCGCTTGGGAGGACCCGGATGCTGCTTTCGGGGACGGTGGATCTCAGGAGGAGGAGCCGGGCTCTTCTTCGTCTAGCGAGTCTAGTTCTGATTCAGGTTCGTCTGACAGCGAGATAGATGAAGTCCTGACTGCAAGTCAGGCAGAGCCCACAGTGGGGCAGAGGTATCACGATCGATGCCCTGTCTATCAGCAGAAGAATACAAGGACTCTTCATCTCAAGCCTGCGGGAAGCTCCATGGAGCGTTTTATATGTGGCCGTGATATCACGGCGAACCATAAGCCGTTCACGTCGGCGGTTCAAGCGGCGCACTGGCGCTGCAAGCAATGCTGGAAGGGCAAGCCCATCAGGGACTTAGGGTCCTTGGTTCACTGCCTTGACGAGCGATTGAAGAAGATTCCGAGGTCCGAGTAAAAGTCTGCGCTGTGGTGCTTCGGAGTCAGGTCCCCATGAGCCTTGAGGCCTCGAGGTTCTTTGATTGTCTGCAGCGCTTTATCTTGTGAGTGCGTGCGGGACACTGATTGTGATCACATGCAGGACGGCTCAGACACCTTGCGGGACCATGAACATGGCATGCTGGAAATACCCTTGCGGGAGTGATTTGACCATTGAGTTAGGGCATGTCACACTTGCGGTCATGCTAGTTCTGAACGTGTAGGATCCGACTCCTCATCATGGCGTCCATCTTGAAGAGTCAAGCAGCTTTTGAGGAAAGGGCCAAAGAATGTGGTCTGGCGCAAGCTGAGCTCGATGTGCTTGTGCGTAAGGGGCTGACTTCCTTGTCGCTCCTTGCCTTCAGCGTCTCGACCCCGGGCGAAGTGCCACAGGAAGCTGAACTCAGGTCCATCCTTGACCCCACGGACCCCACAACTGTGCCGTTGCGTGCACTGTCGGCGCTGCGGCGCCTCATGTTTGAAGCTCAGACTTTGTCGATCGCACAGCTCAAGAGCTCGATTGAGGGTGAAGGTGAAAGGAAGGCCGAGCTGGCTCCTGCCGAGCGAGCGAATCGCCTGGCCGATCAGCGCAAAAGGCTCATCGGCCTCAGCTTGACGGGCCCTCTGGAAAACGCTTTCAGCAATTACACTTATGTCGCTCAGGTCGTTGATCAGGATTGCCTCTCCTATCTGGAGCCCCACAGGTTCCTCACCAGGGCCATGGAAGTGAATAGAGAGAAGCCGGGGAAGGAGTTGATCTTAGATGAGGGTTCGCGTATGAGTGTCCGCGACAAAGCCCACAAGGATAAGTGTGGCATTCAGAATGAGCTGCAGCTCTCCGAAGCCTTGTGTCGTAGGGCACTTGCCTGTGATCTTCTGCAGCTCTGCACGTTTGCCTCCATGGACATGTGGCACAGGCATCTGCTTGCCAAGCTGTCGGAACAGCCGCCTCCCTATTATGCCAAGGTTTCGATGGAGCAGCTGCTCAGGTGCGACAAGGCGGCGTGGGTGCGCATGAGTGAGCTCTTGACTTCTCTTAAGAAGGATGAATCCGGTAATCTACCGATGGATGCCGCACTGGACAAGCTTCAGTATGATCCAAAAATCATGATGCATCTGGCCCCGCTTCCCGGTGCTAAGTGGAAGGGCGATGGAAAAGGCGAAAAGGGCATCAAGCGCGATGCCGATGGCAAGCCAAAATTGCCCCACCGTCCCAATAAAGGCACTGGCAAAGGAAAGTGTCCTGATGTGTTGTCTGACTCACGCTTGAAGCATAACTGTAGCAAGACCAAGAAGCGCCTGTGTTGGAATTTTAACTTGCAGGCAGGATGTAAGTTTGCGAAGGCGGGCGAGAGCTGCAAACGAGGCTTGCATCTTTGTATGTTCTGCGAGCAGCCCCACTCCCTTCTCCAATGCCCGGCCTACAAAGTCAACGAGTGACGGGAGGCTGCCGCTGTTGAGGCCGCTCCTTTTATTGCTGAAGCAATGAGTCCTCCGGTCTCGACCCAAGCGGCAAACCATGCATGCATGTTGGCACAGAGTGACCCTGTTGGCCCATTGGAACGTCCCAAGCCGGCCTCCTCGGTGTCTGATCGAATTTCAAATATTGTGATTGATGAGCGAGTTTTTCCCTTGCCCGCTGAGCGGCGAGTGCATGCCTCTTTGCATCCTGCAGAGCAATTTGCACAAGATGTTCTGTCGTCTGGTGAACCTGTGACAGCAACCTGTGTTGAGCGGCTCTTTAATTTGCTGCCTTCCAAGGAGGATGAGCGGTTCAGTTCCGATTCTGGCAGATCCTTTGTCGCAGGTGTTTTTCGGCATGGGGGCGTCGTTGGCCTCACGAACTCCTGTCGTTCTTTTCCCCAATCAGTCAGCCTGGCCATCACTTGGGCCATGCAGCAAGCTGGAACCGAGTTGTCAAATTTCACATTTTGCTCAATTTCTCTGAACCTCAACGTTAAGACTGAAGTTCACCGCGATGTAAATAACGATGATGCCGACAACCTCGTGTTGGCCGTTACCTCTTTCTCAGGTGGCCACATCTGGGTGCAATCCGAATCGGGCAGTCATGCGCTGCCTGTCAATGGGACCCTGATCCCTGGCGTCTTGTATGATGTTGCAGCAGCCCCAGTGCGGTTCTATGCACGAAAGCGCTTGCATTGCACAATGCCTTGGACAGGTGATAGGCTAGTCCTCATCTTGTTTTCGGGCGGAGATGCCACACAATTGCCCAGCCTTGATTTTGAGCACCTTAAATCCCTTGGGTTTAGGCCTTCGGTCTCCACGTCCACGGCCAACCCGCCGTTGGCGTATGTACCACCGCCTGCCGGAGCTTTTGAGCCCTTGCTTTCTAAGGTTCGTGCTAAAGTCGACGGGGTGTTTCTTGATAATCTCGTGTTTCTTGATATTTTCTGCGGCACGGGGGGGCTCTGTGCGTCCTTACGGCAGTTGGGCATGAAGCTCAGTGTCGGTCTAGACCGTCACGCGCAGCGCGGTTGCAAATGTCCCGTTGTCTCGTTGGACCTCACGAAGCCGGGCTCTCGGGCCATCCTGCTTGATCTTCTCAGACAGCCAAATGTTGTTGCATGCAACTTGTCCCCACCTGTAACCACCAGTTGTGCCAATCTGCCGGGCCCCCGCTCTGGTGTTTTTCGCAATGCAACATACCCTGATGGTCTGCCCGGTTTGCAAGGCACTGATCTCGAGTTAGTCCAGGGGGCCAACACACTTTTTGCCTTGTGTGCTGAGGTCTGGCAATTTTGTTGGAGCCATGGGGTATTTTGCTCCATTGCTCACCCGAGCCGTTCCATCATGTGGCTCTCTGCGTCACTTCGGTCCTGTCAGTCTTCGCCTTTCCTCTCCACCTCTCTGCATCAGTGCATGTTTGGCTCCTACCGGAGAAAAGCCACTCGCATCTTGCACACGGTCCCCTTCTTGCAAAAGCTTGGTGTGACTTGTGATGGCGGCCACGACCATGAGCCGTGGCGATCCCCCGCACAAAATCGCCTGAAGGATGCCGGCTTGCCGCCACTCTTGTGCAAGACTTTTGCCCAGGCACTTGTTGATCAGCTCGTTGCGTGCGGTGCGCGCGCTCCGGCGTGCTCTCTTGCAAATGCTTCCTTGTCGCTCTCCATGGGCGCCCGTGTTGCTACAGCGACGCAGCCATCGGGTCGCAAGATCCCTCCACTGGTTCCTGAGTTCGCCCGCACAGTCAAGTTGGCAGGTCCAGCCGATCAGCTGCCGTGCACCTCAAAGACCAAGCTGGTCTCGGCGTGGGCGGTTCCCAATACTGTCTTCTGCCAACCTTTCTTTGCAACTTTGCCGCCAGGTTCCAAGTGTCTCCGAGCCAGCCCTGTGGTTCCAGGGGGTCTGGCGCCTGCCTCGGAGCCAGCTAAAGGTACGGTTTTAGGTAGTCCTGAGTCCCCTGCCTCCTCGTGCCTGCCTGAGGTTGTTGAGGGTGTGGTTTTAGGTAGTCCCGACTCCTTTGCTCCCCAATGCCAGCCGGCAACCTCACCCTTAAATGCAGCCAGTGCGACACCAAATGCCAAACCTGAGCTTGAGCTGCTTTTCGGCATACCTTGGTCGCCTGCGGAGTTCGTCAAGCAGGCCTGCAAAGCGAAACACCCGCGCTCCTTGGACCAAGGCGTGCCAGCCGGCATGTCGGCATGTATTGAGCGCTTGTGTGAGCACAGCTCGGTCGATGTGGCGAGGGAACGAACGGCCGAACTTCGCAAGTGGATGCTTAGGAAGAAAGAGCTTGATGAGAGTTTTGATGGACCTGAGCACTGCAAGAAGATCTTAGCTGGAAAGCCTATGAAGCTCTTCGGGGAGATGGTCAAGGCTGCCGGACATGCTGATGTTAACTGGTACGAGATATACAGAACGGTTTCGACCTGCTTGGCGAGATCCCTTCCTCGTCTGTCCTGCCTAAGAAAACCACGGTGGCTTCTCTCAGTGTCGAGGACGTAAGAATCGCCACCCCGGCGAACCAGCGTGCGATTTGGGAGGCTACCCGTACTTGCAGGGATCCGGAAATCACTTCTGAAGTGTATCGCCTTACCTTGGAGGAGCGGGATAAAGGGTGGCTGACTGGCCCCTTTACTCTCGCCGATGTGCCGGAGACTGCCATCGTTACCCGCCGCTTCGGCGTCAGGCAAGGTCTGACGACGACGGCCACCGGTGTGGCGGCTAAGATCCGTCCTATCGACGACTTCACAGAAAGCTTGGCTAACTTGTCGTGCACATGTGCGGAAACCATCGACCCGCATTCAGTGAACATCATTGTGGCCGGGATCCTGAAGCGGTGCAGGTTGCTGCGGAAGTCCGGAAGGGACGCCCGCTTGCTCCTTCGGACGATAGATCTACGAAAAGCCTATAAGCAACTTCCTTTGTCGGAGCGCGCCTTGGGGGATGCTTATATATGTGTGCTTAACCCGAATACGGGTGAGCCTGAGCTTTACCAAAGCCAGGTGTTACCCTTCGGTGCAAAACCCTCCGTACAAGGCTTCTGTCGTGCATCAGGGGCCCTCTGGGCGGTGGGGCAAGCCTTGCTCCACATCCACTGGTCCGTGTTCTTCGACGATTATGTGGTAGTGGCCTCGCCTGAGGAAAAGGGTCACCTTGATCTTGTGTTGCGGTCGTACTTTGGCCTGCTCGGCTGGGAAACGTCCGACGAAAAGGACGCCGGGTTCAAAAGTGTGGCAAAAGCCTTAGGCGTAGAATTTAGTATGGATGAGATCCACCTGGGTCTGCTTAGGGTGCAAAACACGGAGGCTAGGAAGCGCGAACTTGTGTCCACCATCGAGTCAATCGTGCAGCAAGGTGGAGCGCATGCCAAAGAGCTTGAGTGCTTGCGTGGCCGTCTTCAGTTCGCTGAGTCGCAGGTGTTTGGTCGTGGTGCGGCCCAACGCATGCGAGCTATATCAAAAGCAATGAAGCTTTCAGGCTTTGTGGTTCTTGACGACTCCTTGACCGAGGCCCTGCTTTTCTTGAAAGATCGAGTCCTGCACGGGGAAGCAAGGATGATCAGGGCCTGTGATCGCCCCACCTACCACTTGTTCACGGACGCTTCCTATGAAGCGGATATGCCGGCCGGTCTAGGAGGCATCCTTTACAGCGATGGGGGTTTGCTCCTTAGGTGGTACTCCGAGTCTGCCGACACAGACGTTTTAGAGGCCATAAACCAAGAGGGCAAACAAGGTCTGATCTATGAGTTGGAAGCTTGTGCAGCCGTGCAAGGCGTCATGCAGCTTTGCAATTCCTTGAATGACTGCAACCTCATTTGCTATTGCGATAATGAGGCCGCCCTTGCGGCCCTCATAAAATGTGCTTCTGAATCTCCGGTGGTAGCATCGCAGCTCAACAAGCTCAGCATGCTTGAGGACGAGAAGGGAATCAGCATATGGTTTGAAAGAGTGGAGTCGTCTGCAAACCCTGCCGACGATCCTTCGCGTTTTGTGCTTAGCGAGCTTCCTGTCAACTTCAGAGTCCGTTGGATCCCAGGCGAAGAGCTGTTGTTCTAGCGGCATCTGATCTTGAATGGGGAATGGCATCAGTTGCCTTTCGCTTGCTGGAAACTTTCACTTGCAGGAGTATGCCGGAAACCTCGTGCAGGACAACTTTAGCTTTTGCCATCTTTGTACATCGGCCACGAATGTGGAGCCAAAACCATCAGTCTGCACCCCTCGCTCTAAAAAGAAATGCAGCGTGCGATGATTCAGTCTGTGAGTGCAGTCAGTGTACATGTTCTTTGCTGTGTAGTGCGCTTGGCTTGAAAACATAACCAAATAAGAACAAACTCTCCCGAAGGGGGATGTTTTCTTATTTGATTGTTTTCATGTTTGAAAAAATTGTTTACAATTTTTTATGCGCACTTTTCCCTTGTCATGCCTTGCTGGATCGTACTGCATGACTTGCTATTTTCTCACGATTGCTTTACCATGCTTGTCTTGGTATTCGCAGTTTTGCTTGCAGGCGTGAGAAAATTTTTGTCCCACCCGCCCGCCCTTCTGGTGTGGGGGGAATGGCATCAGTTGCCTTTCGCTTGCTGGAAACTTTCACTTGCAGGAGTATGCCGGAAACCTCGTGCAGGACAACTTTAGCTTTTGCCATCTTTGTACATCGGCCACGAATGTGGAGCCAAAACCATCAGTCTGCACCCCTCGCTCTAAAAAGAAATGCAGCGTGCGATGATTCAGTCTGTGAGTGCAGTCAGTGTACATGTTCTTTGCTGTGTAGTGCGCTTGGCTTGAAAACATAACCAAATAAGGGAAGTGGGCCCAGCCGTACATCTGAAGTGTTTCAATGTCTTTGTCTGTTGAAGACAGTCGCACAAGTCTTTTTTGGCAGTAAAAAAATGGACTCGCTCAGGTTTACGGGTTGGCATTGGTTCAATTTTGTTTGAAATATTCGATCTGGAGCATCTGGAACTCCACCATTATTGCTTGGACAACAGGACTCTGTGCACTGACTCCAGGCACTGGGCTGTACATTTCACTCTGTGTCCACTTCACTGTGGGCATTGACTTTATGTGCTTTGGTTTGTGCAGTCGAGAGTTCTCAGAACACCGAGACGCGGAAATTCAACTGAAGATCACAGACGGAGAAGTATCTTGAGTGTTTTGACCGTTCTTGTGGTTCATAGTGTGTGACAGTGCCACGCGAGTCTGCAGCGCTGAGGTGTCGGCTGTGCAGAAGTCCTTGCGCCAACATTCCGAAGCAAGACTCGGAGATACTAAAACTTAAAAAGTTAGAAGAGAGTCGTGCAGTCTGCGGAAAAGTCGAGTTGGAACAGCGAATGCCAAACGTAGCGAGTTCGAACGATCGGATTCGCTGTTGCTTTGCGAGAGGTCACTGCAAAAAAAAATTAGTTTTCAAGAGTTTGCATGTCGCTGGACGACTCGCCAAAAAAACAGGGCACAAGGGCTTGTCCGTGCTTCTAGAGTTGTCCGTGTTCGACGAGACAGAACGGTGGCCTGTGTTTTGGGTGACTCCGGACGCCCAAACCCTCAAGCAATGAACCTTTGGCTTGAACCTTCAGCCCGAAACCCGAAACCTAGACAGTCCTAGGGTCAAGTTTACATGTACATAGAGTCATGTTACAGTTAGTACAGTGCAGTCCAGTGCACAGAGTCACCTTAAACCCTAAGCCTTAAACCCTCAGCCCTTTTCCTTAAACCCTAAAGAGTCATAGAGTCAAGTATACATGTATGCATAAAGTCATATTCGTGTAGTCCAGTCCAGTGCATAGAGTCAAGTACATAAGTCAGGTACACAGGTACATAGAACAGTCTAATGCATAGAGTCAGGTACATAAGTCAGGTACACAGGTGCATAGAATCATAGCGTCACTTCACTCTATGTATTATGCACTTGACTCTATGTACTTCACTCTATGTACTATGCACGTAACTCGATGGCTCGATGTACTGCATTCACTCTATGTATTATGCACGTAACACGATGCACTTCACTCTATGTACTTCTCTCCCGAGCACCGCAAAGCACCGCAAAAGTAGCAACTTTCCCAATGCCTATAAACCCTAAACCTTAAGCCCTAAACCCTTAAGCAATAAACCCAAAACGTTAAGCCTTCAGCCCTCAGCCCTCAACCCTAAAACCCTAAAGAGCATAGAGTCAAGCATACATGTACATTGAGTTATATTCGTCTAGTCCAGTAACCAATGCCTGTAAACCCTAAACCTTAAGCCCTAAACCCTTACGCAATAAACCCTAAACCCTAAGCCTTAAACCTTCAGCCGTAGACCATTGACCCTAAAGAGTCATAGAGTCAAGTATACATGTATACATAGAGTCATATTCGTGTAGTCCAGTCCAGTGCATAGAGTCAAGTACATAAGTCAGGTACACAGGTACATAGAACAGTCTAATGCATAGAGTCAGGTACATAAGTCAGGTACACAGGTGCATAGAATCATAGCGTCACTTCACTCTATGTACTATGCACTTGACTCTATGTACTTCACTCTATGTACTATGCACGTAACTCGATGGCTCGATGTACTGCATTCACTCTATGTATTATGCACGTAACACGATGCACTTCACTCTATGTACTTCTCTCCCGAGCACCGCAAAGCGCCGCAAAAGTAGTAACTTTCCTACAGGTTCGTACACTCGACCACACGAATCCCTGGGAAGGGTTGCGCCATGCGCCTAAGAGCGCCGAAAAGTAATAACTTTCCTACACGTTTGGGTACTCGACCACGCCAATCCCTGTGAAGGTTTGCGAATGGCGCGTAAAAGCGCCGAGAAGTAGTAACTTTCCCACACGTTTCAACATTCGATCACGCTAAGCCCTGTGAGGTGTTCAAAGTGGACCAGTCGAGTTGTAACTTTCCCACGTTTGGGCGCTCGACCACACGAATCCCTGTGAAGGGTTGCGAATGGCGCCTGAGAGCGCCGAAAAGTAGTAACTTTCCTACACGTTTCAACACTCGACCACGCTAATCCCTGTGAATTGAAAGGTTGCACGGGCACCGCAAGAGTTGTAATTTCCCAACACGTTTGCGTGCTCGACCACGCTAATCCCTGTGAATGGTTCAAAGTGGACCGGTCGAGTTGTAATTTTTTCGGGAAAACAACCCGAACCTTCAACTTCAAGCCTTCAACAATAAACTCTAGATTTTGAATCCGGGAAGCTTTAAACCATACGCTTTTGATCTTGAAGCTTTCCGTGTGCGCAGGCACCCTCAGCGGCTTCTTTCCGTGGCTTTCTGGTGAAAAGTGCGCATCGCAACCCTGAGCCCGAAGACTTGAAACTCCAAATGGGAATAGGAATAATGAATAAGAATATGCCCTTATAGTCCCTGTGTGATACTCTCTGATGGGCAGGAATAGACTGCGGATGTGTGCCCTGGTATTGCGGGGCCTTTATTCAGAATAGGGCTTTTTCAGGTGTATTATACCATGCTTGTAACAGGGAGCCCCGCAATTCAGTATTGGTAATTATTTGGGCTTCCAACAATTGTTTTGGGGTGCTCGTTCTCCGACCTTCTTCGTCGCAGGCTCGAGCCGTGAAACTTTTATCCTGTCCACGCAGAGAGCTGCTGCGAGCGAAGGAACAAGAAGGCCAGGACCAAAGCGCGAAGCGGCTTGCGGGTTATGGCTTCAGGGTATCTAAAAGTTTAATATATCCCTCATGACATGAAAAACCCCTTTCAGGAGTTTAAACTATAGCTCACAGGATGTTTGCCTGTACGAGTCTAGATCGTAAAGCTTTAACAGCAAGCTGAGCATCTCATGCAATAGCAGATTTGAATTTGTGCTTGCATGGAGTCGCAGCCCATGCCCTAAACCCTAAGACTTGCGAGGTCTGATTTCAGAACTTTGGAATTTTGAGAGTTCGGATATTTGGGTCAACTTTGATAGCCCTCCTTGAGGCCAAGTAGGTTGGGAAAGAGACCCCAAGCCTTGCTCAGGTGATGGGAAGTCGCGCCGGCGAAGCCCTTCTTTCGGTAGCTCCTGGACGAAAGTCTAAGGGTTTTGGGGTTTCGATAAAAATCACCCTCTTTCTTGAGGTCCGAAATGGAGCAAGTGGGGTTACATGCTTCCCTGTGTTCGGAGTCAGAGTGCTCAGGGTTCTAGGATACTGGAATTCGGAGTGTTCGGGATAGGATGTTATAGCCATAGCAGTCCAGGCGTCAGAAGTGCCTTGGTCAGTGTGTGCTACAGGATGTCGGTCGCGCCTGAGGTTAAACTGAGACAGTGTCATGTGTACGTATCGGGCTGTACAGGGGATGAAAGAAGCGGAAGTTGGGCAGGATTGGGGACACTTCTCCGTTTCTTTTGCCAGATGGCCTTCTTGATCCGTTCTTGCACCCACTCAAAAAGCAGGAGATGCTCCGAAGTTGTGTACAAGAAGCTACCACAGTAATTATTACAGTTTCTCGGCTAAAAAGTACCGGGAGTAGCGCAGAAATGCCGCAGGCTGATCGCGGCTTGGTCTCCCTGTGCCTGGTGGCGTCTTTGCTCCTGGTCAGATGACCTGACCTTCCGCGAGCTCCGCTCGGAGTCGGAGCCACGTCCGAGGGCACGAAGTCCCGACTGTCATGGGCTCACGGGCTTTCCTGGGCGGTGAGTGTAGCACTGCAGAACATGCCGCGCCGGGTTGCCTCAGTGGCCTCGCAAGTTGGCAGAAGCGGTGATGCCGGACTTCATTGTGAGGCTTGATGCGAAGCGGTAAGTGAACACCAAGTGTTATTGACGGAGGCGTTACAGATTGGGGTTGGTGCAAGATGAAGTGTCAATTGCTAGCGGATTGGCTTGCAGAAGGCGTGCAAGCGGTCCTCCGGGGGTAGCGCAGAGATCCCTTCGGCGGATCGCGGCTTGGTCTCCCTGTGCCTGGTGGCGTCGCTGCTCCTGGTCAGATGACTTGACCTTCCGCGAGCTCCGCTCGGAGTCGGAGCCACGTCAGAGGGCACGAAATCCCGACTGTCATGGGCTCACGGGCTTTCCTGGGCGGTGAGTGTAGCACCGCAGAACATGCCGCGCCGGGTTGCCT